CTTCTCCAGGATATCTCTATATACACAGCCATAGTATAATGTAGAATAAGCTTATATGATTATCCCATGCCCTGAAAGAAGAGTGGATCAAGTTCTGAGAGGGTGTAGAGGGAGAACACTGATCCCCAGTAGAGGATGGGGTGAGGGAGGAAGTGGAAGTGTTTGGGCTGGACCACGAAGGGCAGGGAGGACCGACACTGCAGGTGGCAAGGAGGGTACTCTGAGGACAGCAGTATCAAGTCCATCAGTACAGCAAACTGAAAACACTTGTTTGGCTGAAGCACAGAATTAGTGCTTGGGAAGTGTAAGTCCACAATATCCTGTCTAAAATCCCTGGGGCTAGCTGGGCTTCTGAGTTTAGAGTGGTTCAGATTATATGTAACATGCCCAAAGGGATCTGGGGCAAACATACCGTAATCAAACATATTACTATTTCTGCAGCAAAATGTATGTATTTTACAATGGGATAAATAAGACTAAATTATAGCCTCATATCAGATCAGGTCATGTTTTGCCTCCAAATGAGTTATGCAAAAAACTTCGTTTTACAGAGCTTGCTTCCCCCCCGCCCCCAATTTTGGAATTGCAGATTTCAAAATAAAAAATAAGGCTGAAAGTTGAGTTGGAATCAGGTTGTAGAAATGTTGTTGTATGCTGTCAAGTCGATTCTGACTCATAACATCCCTATATGACAGAATAGAACTGCCCCATAGGGTTTCCTAGACTTTAATCTTTATGGGAGCAGTTTACCAGGTCTTGTTTTCATCGTAGCCGCAGGGTGGATTCAAACCAGCGACCTTTTGGTTGGCAGCCGAGTGCTTAAGTATTATGCCACCAGGGCTCCTGTAGAAACGTCGGAGGCCATAAATTATAGATATCCTGGAGTATGGAGAGTGGTATTTACTGATTGCAAAGGCAGAAGGATGAACATCTAAGTCTTACTGACAAATTACAATGAGATTTTTTCTTTGCATTAAATAGCTTTTAGTATAGGAAGTCCTCATTGCCTTCAATATCAGGAAAAGGTCACAAATCTACTTCAACATTTTCATAATGAATTGTGGAAGAAAAGTCTGATTGGAGTATCCTCTTGAAAAATGAAACCAACAAGTATAGGAAATGTTTATTTTAATCTTGTACTTAACAAAATTTAAATTATGGTTGCAATCATGAGCCAGTGTTTAGAAAAAAGAAAAATCAGGTCTTATTGGAGTTTTTTGTGGTTGGTTGTTGTTGTTTCTGGGAGGGTGAGGGGCAGACTCATTTTTTGCCAATAATCATATTCATTTATTCAGGAAATATTTATTATGCACCTGTTACACACCAATCACTGTTTTAGGCACTGGGGATATAGTCAGAAGTAAAGCCCCTGTCCTCATGGCTCTCTTTTTCAAGTGGAGGAAAAAGATCATAAATAGTGTGCACATAAGGACTATAAAGAAAATAGAGCAAGGTAAGGAGGTAGAGGCATGGCTTCAGTTGTGTGGAGGATGCTCAGAGGTCCAGTAGCTCAATAATGGG